TTTTATTAAGATCGTTTACATGATTAGACGCGTACACGGATTTGACTAACATGTCATCTACATATACTTCCATACATTCACCTAGCAAGCTAGCAAACATTTTATTCACTAAGCGTTGGTAGGTGGCCCCGACGTTCTTCAGCCCAAACGGCATCATCGTGTAGCAATAGAGCCCGCGCGCCGAGTAGAAAGAGGTGTGTACTTCATCGTCTGGGTGCATAGGAATCTGATTGTAGCCGGAGTACGCGTCCATGAAACTCATCAGCTCGTGCCCCGAGGTCGCGTCGACCATGTAGTCGATGTGGGGCAGGGGGTAGTTGTCTTTGGGACAAGCCTTATTCAAGTCAGAGAAGTCGATGCACAAGCGCCATGCCCCGCTACTCTTCTTTACAAGTACCGGGTTGGCTACCCAGGTCGGGTACCGAACTTCGCGGATATACTCATTGTCCTTGAGCTTGGTCACTTCCTCTTCCAAGGCTTGTTGTCGATCCGGGCCGAGCTTCCTTTGCTTTTGCACGACCGACTTGACCGTGGGGTCGACCTGCAGCCGGTGACAGGCGACCCGAGGGTCGATGCCGACCATGTCTTCGTGGGTCCACGCAAAGACGTCTGCGTTTTCTCGGAGTAATTTGGTCAGCTCGGCCTTCAGGGGCCCCGGCAATTTGCTCCCAATACGGAGCTGTTTCTGACAAGTTTCTTCATCAATGAAGATGACTTCAACCTCGTCCATAGGCTCGGCCCTCTTCGTCCCCCGTTTCTCCTCATATTGGGTTCGGGGGTCGAGCTCGTCTTCCTCCGTGATTGGCCCCTTGTCGGCCCTTCTTCCCCTATCCATGTCGAGGTCGGCCTCGGAGCCTCTCTCCGCCTGGTCGGCACTTTCGTCAGCCGGGGGGAGCGGGCCTGTCTGGCTTCCTAGCATGCGGTCGCTTTCCCGGTCGGTGCCAACCGACCCGGCATCTGGGATTGGGCTGTCTGTCTCCATCTCGGGTTCGGTGTTGACGGGGTCGGCGCTTTGTGAGGTCGATGGGTTCGAACCTGTCTGGTTTCCCAGCATGCGGTTGCCCCCAAGACCATCATGTGTCGACCCGATGTCCGTCGTCTCGGCGTCGACTAGGAGGTCTGCCGTATTTATCTTCGCGCGTGGGATGGTTAGGATGCATTCCCCCGCCTCCCTCTGATCCCCTCGGTGGGTCCCCTCTCCGTCTGAAGTTGGGAACTTGAGGGAGTAGTAATATATGGAGACGGCGGCCTTCAGCTTGTAGAGGGCCGTCCTCCCCAGAATGGTGTTATACTCGCTTGGGCAGTCCACGATTTTGAAAGTTTCTAAGATTGTCTTCATGGGCTGCCCCCTCTCCCCGAACTGGATCGGCAGCGTCACTTGACCGACAGGGACGATGGTCTGCCCATTGAAACCCTGGATCCGTTCTCGGCAGGACTGCACTTCCTTCCTATCGATCCCCATTTTCTTGAAGGTCTCGTAGTAAAGGATGCTCGCGTAGGCCCCGGTGTCGACCATGATGCGATGGATTTTTATCGCTATGATCGACGCCGTGATCACCAAGGCGTCGGAGTGGGGGTGATCAAACAGGAAGGCGTCTTCATCGGTGAAGGAGATGGTGTTTGAAGTTGGCTCCGGCGCCGGCCTGTTCTTGGCGTGCATCACCCTCTGCCCGGCATGATAGGCCTGCCGGGCGTAGGCCTTGGTTTGCCTCCTGGAGAGGAGGGACTCGCTCCGGCTTGTGTTGACTCGTCGGGTTGGGTAGCCGGCCGAGTTGGCCCCGGCACGTGGGGACCGGTCTCTCTTTCTGCCCCTAGAGGTGCCGGCCTCGTCTTGGTGGGTGGGGCAGAAAGTCATGATTTCGTGGGGGCCGCCCTGCTGTGGCTTCTTCCTTCGAGGATTCACGTCGGCATCCTCGTCACTGTCGGGGCCTTCCTCGAAGCGGCCTCCCTTCTTCCTCTTCTCTCCGGAGTGGGTGAACCTCCGGAGTTGGGGATCATCGATGAGTTTGAGCAGCGCCGAGATCAGGTTTCGGCACTGGTCGGTGTTGTGCCCGTGCGCCTTGTGGTAGGTGCAATAGCGGGTCTTATCCACCTTGTCCTTGTCAGTGAACATGGGCTTGGGGTCCGGCAGCAGCCCCTTAGCCTTGATCTCCTCGTAAACCGCTGCGGCTCCCACCGAGAAGACGCTTTGGTAGCTTTCCTTCAGCTCCTCAGCCCTTTGTTTTCGCTGTGCTCGGATTTCAGTGAATGACTTGCTCGGCTTCCCCGATTTTTCTTCCTTCGCCTTCGCCTTTGCTGGCGCCGACGCGGTATCAAACGTTGGGATGGACGAGGACTCCTCCGCCATTATGTAATCCTGAGCGCGGGCGAGGAATTCTTGGTAGGTGTTCGGCTTATTCTGACACAGGGACCACCTAAACAGCGTTTTCGGTCTCAGACCGCCTTGAGCAGTGATCAACAGGGCGTCGGGATGGCACCGCTCCATATTTTGGACTCGGTCGTTGAACCGAGCGATGTAGTCTTTCAAACTCTTATTCTCGCCGTGAATGATATTGGAGATGGACTCCTTGGGAGCGAGATTGACCTGCGATCCGATAAAGTGCGACCGGAACGCCGACCTGAGCTGGGCCCAGGTGGAGATGGAATGAGGGTAAAGGGAATGATACCATCTCTGTGCCTTTGGCCCCGATGTCAAGGCGAACATGCGGCAGCGCAGGGCGTCAGAGGCGCCGTGGAGGTCCATCCACGAGGTATACAGACCGATGTGGGAGTCAGGGTCCAAACTCCCATCATAGAGGCCGAGCTGGGGGTACTTTGATCTTCTTCGGGACGGCCTCCTGTAGGATATTGGGGGAAAGAGGCGAGGCGTTGTCTACGACTCGGGGAGTGGGTCGTATGCAAGGCTGTGGGTAGGCTGGGAGTGACAGCTCACTCCCGGAGGGCTGCCGACCTTTCAGTTCGGCGATTCTGCGTTTGAGGGCCGCGACTTCCTCAGTGTCCTGCCCTATGGCTTTGCCCCGCCTGATCACCTCCCGGAGATCACGGTTGGCTTGGTTCTTGTCACCTAAGCGTTGGTGGATGGAGCGCGGACGACCTGGAGGCTTCGCTCCGGGCGGCTCTCCCCCATCTGCTCGGTAGGAGCCGGTCTGGTGCTTTTGTCACGGCGGTTCTGGGCCTCGCGGTTCGGTGACTGCGCCGTGGTTTTGGATTTCGTCGGGTTCCTTTGCCCCCCAGTCTCCTTCTCGGGAGTGTGGAGCAGGGTGTTGCCGGGGTTTTCCGTGGGCACCACGGTGTTTGCCCCGGCTGTCTGGCTGGCGAGGGCCTTAGCGAAGACCCCCTCGAGGGCTTTGAGGACGTCGGGGTGCTGCAAAGCTGCGACAAAGGTAGGGACTGGTGGAACAGGGACTATGGGTCCCTGCTGAGCACGACGGGAGGTCTCCCCGCCGTTGCGTCCACGAGGCTGGGAGCCGGACTGCTGGGTGGAGTCGTCATGGCCGGATGAAGGCATTTTGAGAAGTTTTTTGGAAGTGGAAAAAGTAGGAAGAGATGAGTGCGAAGTGGAGCTTCACAAGATCGAAAAATTGACACCAAGTAACTTATGGTGCCCTTCCTCTAGCGCCAAACTGTTGACGGACGTTTCCGGTCAACGGTTAAAAAGATAAGTAATAAAAAGGCAATAGGGAAAAGACAAAGAAATATGGTTTAGTTATGATTTTATTGATCGATTGCGAGGTCGGCACTTGTAGTATCCTTACAAATTCCTACAAAGTTTTTACACGAGTCTAGAGAGAGAAAGTAGAGAGAGTTCAGACAGTTGAGATTCAACAACCTCAATTAAATGAAGTGGACTGCTATTTATAGTTGCCTTAAATGTGGCACTGTTCAGGTACTGTTTACCAGTCTTGTCGTACAGTGTTCTTACAGAGCAGTCCGGCGCCTCCCTGACAGAATTCAATGCGATTTGAGGTTTTCCTCATCATTGTCTGACAAAAGCATTTAATGCACACTGGGGCCATTTAATGCTGGCAGGCTTTATGTCTTGGCTAGAGGAGGTAGGTCAGCAGGCTAGGATGCCCCGTCCAATCACCAATGATTACTCTCCAAGTGGCATTATTATACTATTATCGAGATCGACATTCCTCATTGGAGGTCTGTTCTGAGGCCCCAGGTCGGCACATTTTCCCTTTTTTGTTCCTCCTGTTCCGGGGAGCCTTCCTCCAGGTCGTCACTCGTCAGGCCGGCATCGGGACTTTACCCGTCACAAACGCCGGGCTAACAGACGGGCTCGCAGGTGGGTCAAGGTAAAAAAGTTTCGGAGTCCAGCTGCACGTTAGACCGGATCTCCGGTTCAGCTCGCGGGCTCGGGTGTCAACAAGTACTTTTTGTAATAAATTTAAATAAAATGTGTTACTTAGATATCTAAATAATTTATAAATTCAAATGTTTAAACTAATTGATAAATAATTTATAAATCTCTATTTTATTTAAATATGTAATTTTATTTAAAATAATTTTAAATATAACAAAATTTATTTAGAAAATCGTATCGATCCTACCAGTCCAACCAGCTGGTGTTGACGAATTCGAGAGCAAATATTTTATTCAAGCGAACTAGACTGATTATAAATCGATTCTCGATCCATCCAGTCGGACTGTGTCCAACTCGGTTTAATTTAAAAATAATGGATAAATCATAATTAATATTATTTATATATTTAATTTACAATACAATCATAATATTATTTTTCCGTGCATTGTACGGGCGACACACTAGTATATAGAGATAGGGATACCTTAATGCATTGTGATTATTGTTATAAACATTCGCTTTGTGCAAATTTATAAAAGCATTACGAGTTCTTAATTTTTTTTAGTTCTAGTTAAATACATCCAGATGTTAAGGAAAATTTAGATAAATCTAAATTATATATATCAAAATTTCTAAAATTTAGAAGCCTTTAAATATGCTAAACTAAATGAATACAAAGAACACACAGCACGAAGAAGTGAAAAAACTACGAGATATTCACTTATCTTTACTTCTAAAAAAAATATCAAATAGTCAAAACAGGAAAGAGGGGCAGCTGCAAAACAGAACAGACCCACAATTGATTTAAGCAGAAGTTATGTTGCCGGACTAGGGTTTTTGTTTTCAGCCAGCGGCATTTTATTATTTTTCCCAATTTTCCGGCCATGGACGTCGGCAATTCTTAATTCCCTAACGCTGGGGGCATTCAATTGTTCATCACTGTACACTTCCAGCTTCACCTCCGGAAAATGCGCAGCAAGGACAGAATCTCCTATTTCTACGACGGTTCGGTTCTGATAAATATTCATTTTTTGGTTTCTCATTTTCTCAGTCCTTAAAATCGTAGATTATTTGAGATTTCTTTTGTGAAAACGACGGGAACTCTGCTGACCGGAGGAAAACGAACTGCAGGGGATGTCGGAAATGTGTACTTCGGTGCAAACCACCCAATGAAACCCCACCGGTTGTGTATGACGCACCACTTGGTCCTCTCGTATAATCTCCATGATAAGATGGAAATTTATGTTTGTACCTTACTCTTATTATCTTTGTATTCTCAATTACAATTTTGGATTTTTCGTTCCTTGTGTTACTTATTTATTGATAATCAGAGACCTCACCGAGCATATCCCGTGGAGCTAGCTCAGTTCCATTCTCCGGACTACGTGGAGTTTCTGCAGCGAATCACACCCAACACGCAGCAATTATTCGCAACTGATATGGCCAAATGTAATTAGTTCCATATTTGGTACTGAGTTCGTGAAAATTTAGTTATGTGAAATGGAACTGTTCCTTTTTTTTTCTCTCTCTCTCTCTTCTCTTTTAGAATTTGATGGTAAGTTGAGACCATCAGTGCCATAAGTTTTGATTGTATTTGCGGTTATGTAGAATAGTGTTTTAGATACTTAGAACTTGGAAGATTTATGGTTTTATTGTCTAAAATTATCTACATAAAGTTTTTTGTCTCCTAGTGGGTTAATTTTGTAACACATTGAAACTTGGTTTGCCAGCTGCTGTCACCTCTTGATTTTATCTGGTTAGGGATGATTGGTGTGCTATAGTACTCGGTGGTTTGTGAACAAATTACTTAATCTGAGACTTCACTAGAATAATAAGATTGCTGGACCTTTTGACTACCAGATACATTGCTTTAACTGATTATTATTTCATGCAGATAGCCTTGGAGGTGATTGTCCAGTCTTTGAGAACCTGTTCGAGTTTTGTCAAATTTATGCTGGTGGTACAATAGGTAAATAATGCCACACTTACCTGACTTCTTCATCTGATCTTTGGTAGAAATTCTTGATTGATACAGTTTTTTTTTTATTCCTTTTCTTTCTCGTGGAAGATGCTGCACGAAGATTGAACAATAAACTGTGTGACATTGCGATAAATTGGGCTGGTGGATTGCATCATGCAAAGAAGTGTGAGGCATCTGGATTCTGTTACATAAATGACCTAGTTTTGGGGATTCTGGAGCTTTTGAAGTATCATGCGCGTGTGCTTTATATTGATATTGATGTGCATCATGGTGATGGGGTAGAGGAGGCCTTTTATTTCACAGATAGGTATTATAGCAGTATATTCAGATAACTAGTGAAGAGGCTGGCAGGTTATATGTAAACTTCTTATCTTTCATTAATAATTAGGGATATGAGGTAAATAGTCCACATGTTAATTTCATTCCACAACATGGGATGCCATTTATAGGATGGATATAACTGTCCTTGTCAAAATGTTTGTGTTTGGATAAATGACAGCATTAGGGTTGCTTGTCCATTTTGAGTAGAAGAGCTAATATACTATTTACTGTGTGCTCAGTACCTACTTTTGGCATCTAGCTGTGAGAAGTTAGTAAATCTGTATGTGATATGTCATATGTATTTACCACTTTTTTGCATGCAAGTCTCTGGTGTTCACTCACACACAAACATTAATGGATATTCAAACTGTTTTATGTATTTTTGTTTTATTAATTCCATGCTTGTTATGAAGGAAGTGAGATATGTGTGATGCAAAAGCCAATAATCTAATGTGAAGTTGGCAACTTATTTGATAGTTGATTAGTTTATTTATTTCTCCCATTTCTTTTGAATAAAAAAAAAAATCATGTTTAAATTATGTATAGCTATAAAAAAGGTTGTATACTGGAGATGTAATTAGTGATTTATGCTTCCGTGGAAAAGTTGGCAACTAATTTGATAGTTGATTAGTTTATTATTCAGATTTGTTTGATTTCCAGCGACTTAGATTTAACTTATGCTTTTACTCTATTAAGGGAGATATCATTAGGCCAACCACTGTACAATAGTATTTGAACTATGATGTTTGGAAGCACTTCTATTACAGGGGGTTTCTTGATATCAGTGTGATAGTTTCTGGCAGCTTTGTGTAAACTAGGTGTAATTTTTTTTTTTTTCAGCGAAGTCATCATTACTTTAGTGAATGATAAAAGAGAGTCGTTTCTAAAAAATTTAACTTCCTATTGGTATTTTAATCAGAATGGTTATTTAACATGACAGGGTGATGACTGTTAGTTTTCACAAGTACGGGGACTTTTTCTTTCCTGGAACAGGTGATGTCAAGGTACTTCCTTAACAATTTTTGCATGTCATATTTTTCCTGTTTACAGGTAACTTATGGATGAGGAGAACTTTGGAATCGTTCATATTAGCTTGTCTAGATTAGTTTTGCTAAATGAATGCCTCATTCCATTATTTGATTTTGATGAAATAGTTACTTTTTTTTTCTTTTTTCATATGGAATATGAACTATGAGTGCCTGGTTTTCTTGTGATGCTAAAACTGATCCGTTAACATTGACTTCAATAAATCATTTTTTTTCCCCTATTTAATGCCCATTCATGCTGTAAAGCTTAAACAGTAAATTGTTACAAGCTTGATTGTGAACGTAAGGTGGAATTCCAGAGGTCTGGCCAAAACATTTTGAGCTATTGTGGTTTGACATCTTAGAAGCACATGATACTTCACTATCTCTACTGCTTGAGAACAAATGTTTTACTTCAATTTATTTGTGGGCTGTACTGTCAGTTTGCAATTAATGATGCTAGTTAGTTATTAAGTTTCACGATGGTGAATTAGCCTAGAAGTTCTGTGATAAATAATTTCTCTCCATGCATACGATATCACTTCTTCTGCTTAGGCTTCAGGGAATCTGATTTCTTACTTAGTTGAAGACACCATAATGGGATATTGTGCTTCCTATAATAAATCCCTTATTATTGTTAAAGCAACTTCTGCTCTTATTTATGTATCTTGAAGGATGTTGGAGAAAGAGAAGGCAAATTTTACGCCATCAACGTCCCTCTTAAGGATGGAATTGATGATGGCAGCTTTTTGCGTCTCTTCAAGACGGTAACTTCCTAATCAACTATTATTTTGTCTTTTCTTGTTGAAGAAAGATAAAATTTGACGTTCCATTCCTGTCATGCTGTAGATTATTATGAAAGTTATGGAGTGCTATGTACCCGGAGCTATTGTTCTACAATGTGGAGCAGATTCACTTGCTGGGGATCGGTTGGGAAAATTTAACTTGTCCATTGAGGGTGATATTCTAGTAATCAAACATTGTTTTCCCTTATTCTGTAAAACTAGACGTGTCTATGTTATAGTTATGGATTGTGATCACCACAGTTATTGACAGTATTCACAGAAGTATTTGTTTTTAAATGCAGGGCATGCAGCTTGTGTCAGGTTTGTTAAGCAACTCAATTTGCCTTTGCTGGTAGGCCTCTGCATTAAGCTATATAGCTTACAGCGTAGCAGTTTATTTTCCATGTAGGTCCTATTGTTATTTTACTAGCAAAAGTGTGTTATGCTGTGCAGGTAACTGGAGGTGGGGGATACACTAAAGAGAACGTTGCTAGGTGTTGGACTGTGGAGACAGGAGCTCTTCTTGATGTGGAGCTACCCAATGGTACCATTTACTGCACTTTTTGCTGTTGTAAGGCATGACTTTTGTTACTTATATGTGTATGTGTTTTACTTACCTTTTATTATTCCTTCTTTTCCGCAGAGATTCCAGAAAATGATTACATCAAATATTTTGGTCCAGATTACACCTTGAAACGTCCAGGTGGACACATGGTACGTCAACTGGGTAAACTATTTGAAGTTCAAAGCAAGACCAACTCCAACAGCTTCTCTGTCAAACTTCATAAATTTAATTTATTAAATTTGACTCCCTATATAACTTTTACTTTCTATTTCACTTTTTACTTCAGCACTCCTTATTTTAAACTTTTTTATTTTGGGGACTCTCTATTTGTTTTTTTATTCCAAAAAATTCCCTAAATACATCTCTCTATTATATTAATTGTATAAATGAACACAAATAATAATTAATTAAAGTAATAAAAAAATAATCAATATGTTAAATAGAATCAATTTGACCACCCACTACAGTTATATCTAAGCATGACTTCTTCAAAAAATGTGATGAGACGAGTGCAACCCTATTTATCTTATCCCCTTTTTTAAGTTAATATGCCATATATATAGAATTTTTTTTCCCTTATATTCACATACCATATTTCCATAGATGAGCACCTCTCTTCATTTTCTTCTTTTATCTATTGATTTGCAGAGCTTATTGGGGTTTTAAAAAATAAAGTTATATAGAGTCACTTTTGGCTCCCCAAAAGTAGAGAGCATATACCCTATATGTATGGAGCTTGTTAATATGGCAAGGGTGAAGTAGGGTGTCTGCTGTAGTAAATATATTGATTTTGAATCTTGACAATGGGGAAGGAGAGTAGATGATGAGGTTGAGCCAGCCTAATTATTACTTGGAGTTGGCTGATGTGGATAGTGCAAACAACTTATATCACAGCGAATACTATATGCTTGCAGGGTCATTGACCATGGCTTTGGTTATGCACCTACTCAACTAAGATCTTATTTTATTTGTCATTTCTTGATATCAGCAAAAGTCTACCCCAACTTGCTTGGGATTAAAAGGCTATGTTGTTGTTCTTGATATTAGCAAAATGGGCATAACTATTTTCTGGATAAAGTAACACTGTAGTTTTTCTTTCACATCTAACTTTGTTGGCAGTAATTGTGAAAGCTTTTCATATAGTCCAAAATTGTTGATTTGGGCAGGAGAATTTGAATAGCAAATCATATCTGAACACAATCCGACAGCAAGTGTGTGAAAACCTTAGTGCAATACAGCATGCCCCTGGTGTACAGATGCATGAGGTAAACAAAATACTCAGCCATCTTCCTTGTCTTAATGGAAATTACTTATGCCTAGTTTGAAAGGCTCATTTTTTCCAAAATGGGGCTGAGAATAATTGTTGAATTCTTCAAACAATTTATTTGATTCCTTATCCATGCAAGGCATGATTTTGCTAAGAAATACCTTATGATATACTCATGCTTATTTCTTCATTACTATTCAGTAGTCTTGTCTTGTGGATACATTTCCTAATGCCTTGATTACTGTTCTGAACAAGGATGCTTCCTTGGTTTCAACATATCAAAATGTATTAGTAATTTACCTTTTGGTCCAACTTAATATGTCGACGGATATATGACATGCCTTTTGATTTTACTGCTTCTCAGGTGCCCCCTGATTTTTATATACCCGATTTTGATGAAGACGAACAGAATCCAGATGAACGAGTAACTAGTAAGTAAAAAGTTATATGGTGCATAACCACTTTCATCCTTTTTTACCTTTAGTGGTCAATAAAAAAGATGGATTGACCACAAAAGTGAGTCCTAATGATTTACTGATTTTGCCTAATCCTGAGATCTGTCACTCCCAACAAATATTCCCAGTGTTGAGGCGCAATGCGTATTAGAAACAATATGTGAAGGGGTGATTTGTCGTTTTAAATATATCCATTTCTCTCTTGTTATTAATTTGATTGAATTAGGTATCTATCTAATATGTGGTTGTTCTGCTAAACCTGAAATGGTTGTATGCAGGACACATGCAAGACAAACATATTCAGCGTGATGATGAATATTATGATGGTGGTAATGACAATGACCACAATATGGATGATGCATGAAGAAGGGTGAAGGAGCTCTTATTGAAATTCAAACCTACGTAGTTTTCCTCAGCGCAAAATGGGAATATACAGCAAATTTATGCCTTAGCTACCGCGTGTATGGGTTTTGCCTGTAATCATTGATGACAGAGAGGACATATCACTTTGATTTTCCTGAGATCAACTCGCATTGATAATCACCAATTTTCACAGTCCAAGCAATTAATTCATGTCAAATATTCAAGATTTAATATTGAAATATATATATATATATATATGCAATTAATGTGGATAGCCTACTTTCCGGCCTAAAACTTTTGGACCTAGAATGGTATGTTTTCTCCACTTATTGTCTCTTACGTTTTCATTTTTCTTTTTCTGTTCTTTTCTTTTCTTTTTTTTTTTTTTGGNGGCGAAAGGACACGTATATGTCTATAACTAACAACAATGCCTATATTACGAGACACAAAGTTTTTTCACAAAATTGAACCCTTTATTAAATGTCTTCATAACTGACGATATCCACATACAAAATTAAACAAAAAGGCAAGAGCTAATGCGAGACGGGATCACGGGAAATCAAGTCCTTCAAATATTGTCTTTTTTTCCTTTTCCCCAATTTCTCCGTTCTCTCTCTTCGAAACCTAGAATCCAAATTCTCGATCTCTGCGGCCCCCCTTTCGCCTCTCGCCGGCAGACGCAACACCCCAGTCCTCGACCTCTCAGCGTCGGTAATAGCCAAGGTAAGTGACTTCTTCTCGACCATCTGCAGCCCTTGTGTGGGAGGGGTGAGGCGGCGATTTCCGCCGTGCCGCCCTCTCTCTGGCAAGGATGTGTGCAGCCGTTTCGTCTTTCAGTCACCCACCTTGTGCCGATTGGTCGAAGTCCTCTAGTCCTCGTGCTGGTCGTTATTGGAGGAGGATTAGTGTCGGCAACTTCAAATAGTTGGGCCAGCCAAAGCTAATGCGAGACGCGTCCTCCCTTGAAGCTGTTCCAAATACCCTTGCCGTACTTCTCGCTGTCTACTCGGCCGAGACCAAGGCCCGTAACAGGAATCCCAATTCTCAAACCCTAATTCCAATCCGGACAAGACTCTGGTTGGGGTTTTGTTGCCTCCCCTGAAGTCGCAGATGGAACCAAGCCGCAGACTCTAGATTTGAGCAAAATGTGTGAATTTTGAAGTAGGAGAAAAATGTTATATGGAGTTGTGATAGTAGAAAAACTATT